GCTGCCGTGGCCGGGAGCGGCCACTGCACTACAGTCTGAGCGACAGAGTGAGACTCCAATGCAAAAAAAAAAAAATAATAAGTCAGAGGTCAGCTCAGATCTAAGGAATGTGGGAAGGCTTGCAATGCTGCATTGAAAATGGCCACAGACATGGCAGAAATGAAAAACTGGGATCAGTTTTGCATCAGTGTAACACATACAGAGGAGATATAAAGGGCAATGCCCAGATATCAATGTATGGCCCATTCCAAGAACTACAGTGTGGTTGAATTGTGGAATTTTTTTTTTTTTTATTTGGAGTCTCACTCTGTTACCCAGGCTGGACTGCAGTGGCATGCTCATGGCCACTCCAGTGTCGATCTGCTGGGTTCCAGTGGTCCTTCCACCTCAGCCTTCCAAGTAGCTGAAACTACAGGCGTGTACAACTATGCCCAGCTAATTTTTGATTTATTGTAGAGATGAGGTCTCGCCAAGTTGCCCGGGCTGGTCTCGAACCTGTGAGCTCAGGCAATCCTCTCGCCTTGGCCTTCCAAAGTCCTGGGATTATAGGCTGAGTCACCAAGCTCAGCCCAAATTGTGGGATTTTCGAGGGGGAAGGAGACTCTGTAAGTCAGACTAAAGAGCTCCCACTTTTTCTCTCTCTCTTTTTTTTTTTTTTGAGTAGGAGTCTCACTCTGTCACCCAGGCTAGAAGGCAGTGGCACACTCCTGGCCACCGCAACCTCCACCTGCTGGGCTCAGGTGATCCTTCCGCCTCAGCCTTCCAAGTCGCTATGAGCTCCAACTTTCACCCACGGGCAGTAGGGGGCCATGAGGGTGGCGGGCAGGGGAGTGAGGGCCGACTGCACTTTAAAACACTTCGATGACCACAGCCTCCCTCTATCCAGACTTCTGGTGATAGAGAGTCCTCTGGAAATATTCCAAACAGTAGAGAGATTACATAGAGGAAAATGCAAATCTGTTTAAAACTCAATCCCAACTGGGCTTGGCGGCTCAACCTGTAATCTCAGCACTTTGGGAGGCTGAAGCGAGTGGATTGCCTGAGCCAACAGGTTCGAGACTAGTCCAGGCAACTTGGCGAGACCTCGTCTCTACAATAAATAAATTAAAAAAGCCGGGCACGGTAGCACGTGCCTGTAGTTCCGGTTACTTGGAAGGCAGAGGCAGAAGGATCGCCGGAGCCCAGCAGGTTGACGCTGGGGGGCTGTGAGCGTGCCACTGCACTCCAGCCTGGGTGACGGAGTGAGACTCCAACTCAAAACAAATTCTATGCCTTCCTCAGAGGTAACTACTGCTACTGTTACCTTGGGATGAATTCTTACAGATCTTCTATACACACACACACACACACACACACACCAGTTTTGCCCTCCCAGAGTGAGCATATTCTACAGATATGTTCTGCTTTATTAATATTCACTGCTATAAATTATTCCACTGTGCAAGTAAGTCAGTGTACATGTCCACTCTCCACTGGGTGGGCAATGAGGTGGCTTTGGATTTCGGTTCAGATTGCAGTGACCATCCTCAGGTTTCTAACACCTAGAGTGAAATGCGTGGGTTGTGGAGTGAGAGCATCCTTAAGCTGCTTGCGCTCTGCGGCCTTGCTTCCTGAGGTGGCTACCAGCTCACCCCTGGCAGCTGGGCCTGACATCGAATCCTTGGCACGCGGTGTTGACAGACACTTAAGCCTTTGTCATTCTGCTGGGTATGAAATGCAGCCTCAGTCTTGTTTCCGTTCACGTGATCACTTTAGATGATTGTGGAGTATTCTACAGAAATGAATTCATTTGGCCAGGTCCTGGGTGATTCGCTTGGAAGCTAGCTCTAATTTTTTTTTCTTTTCTAAATAATGCAGCACTACTTCTAGACGAGAAGCAGAGTGGCTGGCCTCGAGGGAATACCTCCCCAAAGTAGGCTGTATCCCAATTTACACCCCGGCAGGGGCAGCGAGGGCCTGGCTCCCGGCATCCTTGCCAACACTTCAATGTTTGTCATTTTGATGGGGAAAATAGTTTTCCATCATTGTGTCTGTTCGAATCTCCCTGGATGCCAAGGAGGGTGGGCATCCATTCTCTCATGTTTATCGGCCTTTAGGCTAGTGAATTGTCTATTTATATTCTCTGTCCATTTTCCCAGTGGACATTGTCCTTATCTATGAAGATTTGCAAAAATTGCTCTTACATCTTTTAACAATTTCTTTCTCAAAAAACAAAACAGAACCAGGCTCGGTGGCTCAGCCTGTAATCCTGCGCCTTTGGGAGACCGAGGTGAGTGGATTGCCTGAGCCCGCGGGTTCGAGACCTGCCTGAGCAGGCGAGACCTCATCTCTACAATAAATCAAAAAATTAGCTGAGCGTGGTAGCGCATGCCGGTAGTTCCAGTTACTTGGAAGGCTGAGGTGGAAGGATCGCCGGAGCCCAGCAGGTCGAGGCTGCGGTGGCCGGGAGCGGCCACTGCACTCCAGCCTGGGCGACGGAGTGAGACTCCAACTCAAAAAAAAAAAAAAAAAAAAAAACAGAAGGAGGCCACAGGCCCGGAGAGCCTGGCTGGCCTCAGGAGAGGCTACTGCCTGATGTGGGGGTGTCTGCTCCAGGTAAACCCCTGGGTGATCTCCATCTGCTATTTTTTGAGAAACTGAGGCCAGCAGGGGCCTTGGAACAGGAGCAGGTACTGGCGCAGCTCGCTGCCCACTTGCTGGGATTAGAGGGCCTCCATGGCCATCCTGGCAACACAGGTGCCCCCTGTTCGCCATCAGCGTGTCCAGCCCCTGGTGAGCAGAGGGCATGAGGGGATCTAGGGTCTCAGCTCCCATCATTTCACTATGGGGGCTGAGACCCAGGGAAGTCAAGCAGCCTACCCAAGGTCAATAGCAGCGGGTAGCCAGGCGGGGACTCCTGTGCAGAAGGCAGGACTGCCGTGCCCCATCCTAACGTCTCACCCCAATCCCAGCTCTGAGCGCTCCCAGCCCATCAGGGCTGATTGGAGTGGTGGGGCGGACCGCTGGTATATAAGCCGAGTAGGCCGGCCCGGCACCTCACACCCGGCAGAGAAGGGCTGCTGCTGCCTCTGCCTGTCTGATGGCCTCTGGAAGCATCACCAGCATCGTCTCAACCTCCTTGACTTCCATGGCGGCATCATCCAGGTCTACTGGGTCTGAAAAGCCAGGTGAGCACTGGGAGGCAGCCCCTCGCTCACCCCTGCAGCCTCCATTCCCAGCACTCGCCTGGACACTTCCTCCTCCCACCCTCCCACTCTTTCACCCTCTCCCAGCCTGGCCCCAGCACCCACCCAGCATCCAGCTGCTGAGTTCCACCCCCCATTTGACAGAAGAGCTGATGGCACAGGTAGCAGATGTCAGGTGGGACCTGGGGTCTGAGACCTGCTAGGCTCAGGGAAGGAAGGCCAACAGGGCCTCCCAGCTGGAGCCCATTCCTGTGGGGGAGGGCGGTAGCCATGCTACAGCTGTGGGGCATCTAGATGGAGAGACTGGGACGAGAAGCATTTGGTGCAGAGCTGGACACCCCCATATTCAATCAACAAATGACTCAGGGCTTCTCTGGATAGGAGGGGCCACTAAGCCAAACCAGAGCCAGGTGGTTCCCTTGAGGTGCTCCCAACCTGCCTCATTAATAAATGCCATTTGGGGCCGGGCTCGGTAGCTCAGCCTGTAATCCCAGCGCTTTGGGAGGCGAGGCCGAGGTGTGTGGATTGCTTGGGCCCGCGGATTCAAGATCCCCCCGGGGCAACTTGGTGAGACCTCATCTCTACAATAAAAATAAAAAATTAGCCGGGTGTGGTAGCGCATGCCTGTAATTCCGGCTACTCAGAAGGTTGAGGCGGAAGGATCGCCGGAGCCCAGCGGGTCGAGGTTGTGGTGACTGGTAACGTGCCACTGCACTCCAGTCTGGGCGACAGAGTGAGACTCCAACTCAAAAAAAAAAAAAAAATGCCATTTGGGAATGTGGCATGTGCTTTAATGGTGGTAATCCAGAGGGCTGTAGGAGCTCAGAGGAGTCCCTTAAACCACTTTGGGAGGTCAGGGAAAGCTTCCTGGAGGAGGCGACCCCTGAAGGATGGATAAGGCTCACCCAGTGGAAGCGTTCTAGGTATCTGCCGAGGCTTCTGGGAGGAAAGAAGAGGTTCCAGGAGCCAACGAGTACAAGGGCAGAGTGGTTCACTCTTAATTGGGAAGTCAGGAAGTCAAGCTCCCAATCAATGTGCTTTCTGAGCCTTGAAGGTTGAATGAGAGCAGCAGAGGAGAGCGGCATCCCAGGCCCAGAGACAAGCATGGTGGTGGGCATCTGGGAAGCTGCCAGTCTTCCTTCTGGCTGGGGCAGTGTTGTGGACGCCGTGGGGAGAGGGGCCAATGAGACAGGGCCTCCAGGGCGTCTTGAGTTGATTCTTCCACTTAAGGTGATGGGGAGCCACCAGGGTTTCAAGCAGGGTGGTGAGAGGTGTGAGATGAGGTGAGGAGAAAGCATTGAGGGAAAACAGGCAAAAGGGAGGAGGCTGGGGCTATGGGAGTGGAGAGGAGAGGCCAAAATGCGGAGAGAAAAGCCTGTGGAGAGGCCTGGAGTGGATATGGTCAGGGAGGGACGGCTAGAATGGCCCCTGGGTTCTTGCTTGGTGTCTGGGGAGGTATGGGATGGGGAAAATGGTAGCAATTACTAGGGCAGAGAAGATGGAGGACAGGTTTGGGAGCGGGGTGAATTCCGTTCTGGACATCCTGGTATACAGCAGTCACTAAATAGCAGTCAGATGAAGAGCTGGAGAGGGAGGAGACAGGCCTGCGGGGAAGACCTTTGAAAGTAGCTCTCTGGGATGGCCATGGTCTGGGGGTGGCGGTGGAAAGCAGTTGGAGCTGCCTCCTGAGGTCAGGCTGAGGACCCCTGGCGAAAAACCGCATACCCTGGAACCGCAGCTGGGAGGGCTCAGACCTCCTTAGAGGCTCCTATGCCCACTGTGCTGATCGGAAGACTGAGGCCGAGAGTGAGCCAGGACTCTGCCAACTCACAAGCTTTGGCCCCAAAACAAATACTCCCCAACACTGGGCTCTTCCTTAGTCTTCTTTCCTCAAGAGATAATAACAGGGAGCAGAAGCTGGGAAGCAACTTCTTTGGGAAAGATGGTGCTGGGGTGTGGGAGTCAGAGAAACTGTCTTCAGTTCGGCATGTCAAAAACGCCATATTTTGAGGTATTGGTTTCCAGCTCTCATCAGTCCTCTGTCTGAAACTTCCCTGGAAGTCTCATACACTAAAAACCGAGAAGGTGGCTGTGGAAGAGAAACACTGAATTAAAAGCTGAGTAACAAAGAATTTCATTTAACCAGTCTGGGAATGGGCCAGTTGCCATAAAGAGCTGTGTCTCAGCCGGGCTCGGTGGCTCAGCCTGTAATCCCGTGCCTTGGGAGGCTGAGGTGAGTGGATTGCCTGAGCCCGCGGGTTCAAGACCCACCTGGGCAACTTGGTGAGACCTCATCTCTACAATATATCAAAAATTGGCCGGGCGTGGTAGCGCGCGCCTGTAATTCCAGCTACTCGGATGGCTGAGGCGGAAGGATCGCCGGAGCCCGGCAGGTGGAGGCTGCGGTGGCCGAGAGCGGCCACTGCACTCCAGTCTGGGCGACAGAGTGAGACTCCGACTCAAAAAAAAAAAAAAGAACTGTGTCTCATTTTAGGAGATGGCATTGCCTATGGGCTTTCAAACAGAAGAAGAACAAAGGTCAATGTTAGCAACAATATATAAACCAGTTTCCTGAGAGTCCAGAGGGTAGTTTAGTTGAGGTGTGTAGACGTTAGACTCAAAGTTATCTTTGGTTAAAGAGAAAGATGGCAGTGGCAATCTGACATGCTGGTTTTATGTTTTTGTTTTTTTTCTCTTTTTTGTTTTTTAAAGAGGGAGGGAGGGAAGTAGTAAGAGAAAAGAGAAAGGGAAGGAAGGAAGGAAAGAAGGAAGGAAGGGAGAGGGAGGAAAGAAAAGAGGCTGCTTTTTTCACTTGCATCACAAGGTGTAAGCTTCAGCTTGCAGGGCCTCCGAAAAAAGGTAGTAGCAATTTCATTGAGTCCCAAGCCAAAGAGAAAATGGAACAAAACATTGAAAACATTAGTTTGGAGACTTGTAGCCAGGAGAGAATTCAGGATTAGTCTAAATTATAGAAAATAATAAAAACTAAAAAATAATGGACATAGCTAGAATCTGATAATATGTATACTCTAGTTTCCTCTGCAATATCATTTTTCTCTATCTGGTCCCCATTTCTACCAAAGACAAGTCATCATAGGGCCAATTTACTTGCAAAATAAGATTTAGTCCTATTATACGTGATTATTAGGCCTGATTATTTGCATAAAGTACAGCAAGAATAGTTATTTGCCATATGGGCTCTCTTTAAGGGGGCTTTTCTGGAACTTTTTTCATAAGAAATCTCAGACCTTAAAAAAAAAAAGAAAAAGTTTCTCAAGCCCAGCCAAGGATTTATCTATGCCTACAGATACTTGTGTGAATTCCTTTCTTCTCAAGATCCCAGTGTAACTTGGGGTTCCTGTCATAGAGACATTGCTTCCTTACCACATGTCAGAACCCTGTGAAGGAACTGCGCAGAAAAAGTTCAAGGCCAGGCATTCCAAGGGGTTTTCATCAGCTCTGTGAGTAAACCTCGATTCCTCAAAGCATCTGCTCATATCTAAAAATATGCCATTTCAGGCTAGGCACAGTGGCTCACACCTGTAATCCCAGCACTTTGGGAGGTGGAAGTGAGAGGATTGCCTGAGCCCAGGGGTTCAAGACCAGCCTGGGCAACTTGGTGGTCTTTGTCTCTACAATATATCAAAAAATTATCTAGGTGCAGTGGCACATACCTTGGAAGGCTGAGGCAGAAGCATCTCCTGAGTCCAGCAGGTCAAGGCTGCAGTAGCCATGATTGTGCTACTGCACTTCAGCCTGGGTAACAGAGTGAGACTCTGACTCAAAAAAAAAAGGAAAAACCATTCTAGTCAAAGCCTTGGTAAAATAACCAGTGACTTAAATTACAAATAGTTTCCAAATTCTGGAGAAATCCAGAAGGAAATAAGTTTCAAATTTTGTTCACAAGAATATACTTTACTGAGGTGGAAAGATCGCCTGAACCCAGCAAGTCGAGGATGCAGGAGCTGTGAGCGTGCCACTGCATTCCAACTTGGGTGACAAAAGTGAGACTCCAACTCAAAAAAAAAAAAAAAAAAAAAAGAATATGCTTTATTCAAATGTCTAAAACTATACATAGCTCAAAAGCAAAAATAAATATAGATTTTCTTGACCCTGGAAAACAAAGGTAAAAGGTCATTAAAATATTTCATTCCTCTATTAGTTTAGTCCCATGCAATTAACTTGTTCTACTTGATATTGGGTTAGTAATTCTCATGAACACACTGGCCTTTTTTTTTTTTTTCCTGAGTCAGACTCCCACTCTGTTGCCCAGGCTAGAGTGCAGTGGCACGCTCATGGCCACTGCAGCCTCAACCTGTTGGGTTCAGGAGATCCTTCTGCCTCAGCCTCCCAAATAGCTGGAACTACAGGTGTGTGCCACCATGCCCAGCTAATTTTTTGATTTAGTGTAGAGATGTGGTCTCACCAAGCTGCCCGGGCTGGTCTCAAACGTCTGAACTCAGGCAATTCTCTCGCCACATTCACTTTTTAATTAGATTCCTAGAAGTTTTTTTTAATCTAACCCAATGTCATAATCTCTGAAGTTATCAGAAACCTGCATTCAAGAGTCCTTTTCATGTACTCCTCTAAAGAAGCAAGTTTTGAACTGAGCTGATTATAAATACTTTTTGAGAAGGCTCATAGTAAAATAATAATTGTGGATGACAGAAGCCTTAGAACAGCCATGGTTAAAGACACAACTGACAAGGAGATTTGGTTATTTCGGTGGCATTCAACAATGTTAATCTTAATTATTACTGATCATTTGGTAAGGCATATTAGAATTATAGGAATCTGTTAGGATTTTTTTTTTTTTTTTTTTTTTTTTTTGAGAAAGCAGGCTTTATTGATAGGACAGAAAAGCTCCCACAGTGGGAGGGGACCTGAAGGAGTTGCCTCTCTATTACGATTTTAGAACACATACTAATAACACTTATAAAGATAACTGAAACTTAAACACCCTTTCTTATCTGACAGTGTTT